AAGAACTTGCATTTTTAATAAAAGTACAACCAGTACTTGGCTAATACATACATTTCAGAAAGACATTCAGTTTTCTTCTGATGGCTTTGAGGAGATTCAGAATTTACCGCTTGTCACATTACGTCCTCAATTGCATAAACCCAGTATTAAGTTCTCCATGGGGACAGTGTCTCATTCAGTACACAGGACAAAATCATTTAGCTAGCAGCCATTCAATATTTTATTTTTGCCCTTTTTATTTTATGTATAGCCCTAAAAGCCTTGTTTACTGCACATTATTCCAGCTGTATTCTGAAAGCAGAATGATTAATTTCTATAGTGCTCATCAGATGCCTCTAACTTCTTATGTTCAATTTCCTAGCTTTTGGAAAAGCACACAAAGGAATGCCATTATGTGGCACCATGTAACTACTGCTGTGATTCATATCAGCAGTGATAGACCAGACATTTGCTATCTTAACTAACAGGTGTGAACCACAGGCTTCCAGCAGTGCCAAGTTAAAGGAGGTGAAGTACACGCTTAGATTTTCACTGATATTTTCTGGCACCAGGATGGGAAGGTTCAGAATCTTAAGGAGACTGAAGGACATTGAAAGAAGTACTTTTACAAGTTCCTGCTCCTTTGTTATTCTCCTAAGACTGACCCCTTCAATTCATCCTTTTCAGCATGCCCAGACCTCCATCCATGTGTCTTATCTATCTTACCAGTGTTATCTATCTCACCCTATTTTCTATCTATCCATATTTCTCTCATGTTTTCAGCTTCTTTCCCCTTCCCTACTTGTTCACAGCTGAGTCTCTGCCCCCAAAGTTCTCATCCCACTATTTTTCAGCTCTTCTAAATTTTACATCCACCTCTTGACTAAAACATCATCATAGAATACTCTAAACTGGAAGGAACCCACAAGGATGATTGAGACTGTCTCTTGGTCTCATAGAAGATGGCTGCAAGAGTCACACCATGTGCCTGAGAGCATTGTCCAAATGCTTCCTGAACTCTGACAGGCTTGATGCTGTGACTTCTCTGGGATGCCCATTCCAGTGCCCAACTGTGCTGGTTTTGCATTGATTGGCATTTGGGGAAGTAGTAAGAAACCACCCACAGAAGTGATTTCTTTGAGAAAAGCTGCTGGGAGCTCCCTCTGTGCCTGGGAAAGGCACAGAGCTGGCTAGTTCTGAAAACTGACATTTTGAACCATTCAGAAATGGTTCAAAATGTTGTCATTTGATCTCACAGATTCGCCTCTGTGAGATTGACATTTTAAAAACCACAAGCCCGGGAAATCTCTCTCTTTGGTTCTGACCTTGAAACGTAGCTGAGCTCTGGTGGGGCTGGCCCCACACCCCTGTGGCCTGGGGGGGGACAGGCTGGATCCCAGTGGCTCCTGGGTGGGGGACAGGAGTCCGGGGGGCCCTGGCCCCAGGTTGGGCTGGGCCATGGCTGCTGACACCTTGCTGACACTAACCATCCCCCCCCCCCCCCAAGTTGAGCGGGGCCCATCAGGCCCTGGGAATGGCTCCAGGCTGTCCCATCCTCCCTACCCCAGTAGGAGCCCAGTGTGGCCTGAAATCCATCACCGTGACTGCTGCAGCCACTGGGCAAGATATTAACCCTTATTAACACAGATGAGACCTGCAGACCTTGATCCTCTCTCCAGGGAGAGAAAAAGAGTGACAACACGTAGAAAGACAACATGAAGACACCAAGGTGAGTAAAGATGGAGTCAAACTTCAGATGGAAGGAGAATGAGGAGATGCCCTAATGGGGCTGAGAGCTCTTTTGGTCATGGGCCATGGAGATGGACAATGATACACTGAAATATCCCCTTTAATTCATGAGGGAATATGGGGGGATGACGTATTCAAACTGTAGATGTGAACAGAGGCATCCATTGATGAAGCCAAGCAGATGTTGGAGTAGCTCTGATCCCATGAGAAGTTTGAACAGAGAGAGGGAAAGATGACAGTGATGAAGACCCTTTGCCCCCAGGAAGAGAAGAAGAAAACCTCTGTTCCCAGAGATGATCACAGGGACAGATGAAGAGCACCTTTGCCTTTGAACAGCTCATCCTTAAAATAATACCCCCATGAGTTCATGGCCCATGGACACACCTGTAGCAGGCCTGTGAAAATGGGAGGGATTTCGCAATTGCAGAACTTATCCCAGGCAGCTGCTAATCATGGGAATGAAAAGCCATGAGAGAACTGTTTCTTCTGGAGTAGTCTCCATGGCATGGCAAGAGAACACTCCACACCCTACAAGAACTGATGAAAGACTATTTTATAGTTGGTACTGCTTTAACATCCCAGGTTTTGTCTCTACATGATCAGTTGGGAAAGGAAAGAAGTTGGGCAAGGGGAGGAAAAGTGTTCTGGAAGTTTTACTCTGGTTCTTCTTATTCTTGCAGTTCTGTTAATAAAGTTTATTTATACCTTTCAAGTTTTGCCCTTCTCCTGATCTGTATCTCACAGCAAGAAATGAGTAAGTACACTGGTGATTTTTAGCCAGCACTAAACCCACCACATTCTTTGGTGCATTGGCCAGGAAACTCAAATTGGCGAACCTAAACCACTACACGAAATTGGTGTTTCTGCCCAGTATTCAAACTGGAACCACTACACCAACCATCCTCTGGGTGAAGAATCTTTACCTAATATCCAACCTAACCCTCCCTGACCCAACTTCAGGCCATTTCCTCAGGTCCTGTCACTGGTCACCACAGAGAAGAAATCAGTGCCTGCCCCTCTTCTTCCGCTCATAAGGAAGTTGTAACTGTACTGAGGTCTGTCCTCAGTCTCCTCTTCTCCAGGCTGAACAGACCAAGTGACTTCAGCTGTTCCTGATATGGCTTCCCTTCAAGATCCTTCAATGTCTTGGTTGTCCTCCTTTGGACACTCTCTAACAGTTTAATGTCCTCCTTATACTGTGGCACCCAGAACTACCTCCAGCCTTGGAGCTGAGGCTGCCCCAGTGCAGAGCTGAGCAGGACAATCCTCTCCCTTGCCCAGCTGGTCATGCTGTGCCGGATGCCCCCCAGAACAGGGCTGGCCCTCCTGGCTGCCAGAGCACTGCTGACTCACATTCACCTTGTCACTGACCAGGACCCTCAGGTCCCTTTCCATGAAGCAGCTTTCCAGCCTCTCGTGCTCCATGCTGTAGGTACACCCAGACTGGCCTCAGGACAGGTGCCCTCATGAATCCACGGTGGCTGTGACCAATGACTGCACTGTCCTTCAGGTGTTTTTCAATACCTCCCAGAATAACATCTATATTTTTACCAGTCACTGAAGTGAGACTGACAGGCCTGTAGTTAAAAGAGTAATTCCTCTAGACCTTCCTGAAAATTCACTGGAGTTTGAGGGGAATAAGCATTCACAGACTCCTTAAAACTTTCAGAAATACTTACCTACTAAGCATATATGTGTTTTTAAAGGTTACAACTTGGATAACCTAGGAAAGATTTTTTCATTTTCTTACATGTTACCCATTTCTGACAAAACCTGGCGACACCAAGGCACAGTAAAGAAGATATTGCATAAGCTTTTAAGGTCTCTTCCTAGCCTCCTTTTCAGAAACAGCAAAGCCATGTTGGGATGAAATTTTCTGAAGTAAACTGGGCCAGAACATCTGAGATGTGCACCTTGGAAACTTGGAAAATTCCAAGTTACTATAGTTTCAAAAAATTACAAGCAACTGTAATGTGAAGACACAGAATGTGGTTATGTCCATAAAATAAGACAAAAATCAAAGTTATTAGTATCATGTTGGCATCTAATTTAATGATTTCTCCTGTATCAGCAACTTCTCTTAAATTATGGCAGAGCAAAGAACATCATTTCATCTAACTAGTTTTTTACTGAGTGAATTTGTAAAGGCTGCATTACAACAACAAAGCAATATTTTTGTCCCATATAAGCCTAATGTGTACAGCAGTCTTGCAACGTTCTCCTGACATGCACCAGCTATTCATTTGCTATTTTTGTACTGAACATTTATTATTACCAAGTATCTTGCCCTTTGCCTATAGGTTCTATTATTTTCTCCAATTATAACTTCACTTAACATTTGATCTCTTGCAGACTGATAACCCTGCAGTTTTGGAGTTGCCAGCAAAACTCACCAGAATCAAATTAATGCCAGGAGATACAAATATGCTAGCAAAGACACTAAGCAGTCACATGTATATAGAATTCCTGTAAAAATTAAGTTAGTCAAGACAAACTTCTAAAATCCCTGAGAGACCTGGTAAGGGCTACAGTTAACAAGACACACCATGGATCAAATATGATTAACTGTTCTGATTTCACAAGAGAAGTGGGTTTTGGTCTTCCATAAAGCTCCTTGAATAATAATTATTGTTATTAAGCTCTAGACCTTGTGTCTGGAAAACAGTTTGTTTTGGGCTTGGTGCCACAGGAAAAGAATACTTGCTAGGTAGCAGTGTTACCAAAAAAACCCCCACAAATGTGGAGTCACTGCCCCTACACAAGGCTGGAACTAAGCTGCAGCTTATGACAGTAACAGATTCATTTTATGTAAACTCATAGCTTATCCTGATTTTAGCAGATACAACAAACCAGCCCAAGTTTTACAAAGCCTGTATGTATATACGTACGTACGTATTTATCTTTCTTTCTTTAGTTATTTAGATCAGATCTTTCAAATATCAGTGTAAAATAAAACTTAAATAAACTGCTTATTTAAGGTGTGTGACAGTTAGTACGAAAAGCAGCAAAGACAAAGCAGTGATCTGACTTCCAAAAGTATCAGCCTTTGTCAATTAAAATATTTACTTTTGACACAAGTCCTAATTAGTTAAAAATATTCAATGCAGTCTTAAAATAGAGGTTCAAACTACGCAATTTATTCTTGGAACAGTCACTTGCTCTCAGGATTAGCAAGACAATGTCATTCAGAGCAAGCATGAGCCCTCTCCCTTCCTATTACAGTTAATCAGGAACATAGATACTATAATGGAGCTGAGCCCCTGCAAACTCACCAGGCTGTGCATAATTTCCACTCCAGCTGGATTCACTGTGAGTGCTTCATCATACAATTGCTTAGCCTCCTCCAAATTGCCTTTCATCTCTGCAAGCCTCCCACGCATGTACAGTACAGCATGAGATGTGGGGAAAAGACTAGCTGCCTCCTGGGTACAAAAGCCTGCTTCTTTGAGATGTTGCAGTTCCAGGAAGAGTTCAGCTGAAGGAAAAACAAAACACCAAGCCATAAAAACAAAGCAAAAAACACCCTGCCATTAGATGAAATGAAACAGAGACCTTTCTTCATAATAATTATATATCATCTGCCTTAAGCATATTAAAACATGAGGCCATGATCCTGCACAATGCTTAGTACTATGGTTAATGCTTATTATTGTGACTGGATTCACTGAATGTATATCTTCCTAATGTTAAGGGATCTTTACAGATGTTCATGGACACCTTTGGGTGGTGTCCTGACAGAGGCCTTAAGGATTCCTCCATTGGGAAAGTAAATAGTGCTGAACAGAGCCCTAAAGAATAGCTGGTAGTTACATGGAGTCATCACAGGTATTTCCAAATAATCTGGAGGGGAAAAAAGAACAGAATAAGCCAATGCACTGTCTACTGAGAACTTCAAAAATGTCAGACTAATAGGACACGTCGGAGCTGGACATTACATAACTTACTTAGGAGAGTATTTTCCCATTTAAAAAGAAGATTTAAGGTGGTTTTCTCTGCTTATTTGGCAAGCTTATGAGACAACTGTCTCTTAATTTTTCAGAGACTGTTAAGTCAAAAGGCTCTTGAAATATAGACTTATTTAAATTGCTTATTCACCCATTTACATCCTCATACATTACAGGAAAACAAAATACAGCTCTTGGAAGAGACTGCTCATTTACTTTCTTGAACTATCAGCAACTATCTTACAGGTTTCCTTAGAAAAAAATGTGTAACAGGCATACTTATGTGTTTGAATGTCAACTTGTTAATAAAATAATTTCTCATTATGAATTTCATAATATATCGCATGGTTGAACTTCAACATTTCTCAGGATTTGGACTAGATTGTGGTGTTGGACTGGATGATTGTTGTAGGTCCCTTCCAACCAAAATATTCTATTTTAATTCTACATTTATTAGATATTAAATTCTCAAAGGTCAAAAGCAATACTCAGTTTTCACTGCCACATGTAATTGAAAAGGGAAACTTTTTATATACAGACATATACACACACATACGTAAGTATGTATGTAGGTAAAATAATTATCTTCATACAGCAGGCATTTCTCTTTGATCCATAACCTGTACTCTACATGTTCTCACTGCAAAAACTCAGTGTCTCTTTTTTTTTTTTTTTTGACTGATGTCATGCAGTAAGTATTGACAGTTCAAGAGTCCAATTCAAAATTACTAATTCAGGCCCCAGATTTAGAGAAACTGTTCTGAAATTAGACACAGCCTTAAATGTCCTGACTTTTTAAGGCAGTCAGCATTGTCAGGAAGTTTCTGGGAGGGGGGAAATTAGAGTGAAAATTCCTCTTTAATAGCTTTGAAAGTCTGCTATTTCAAAACACTAAGAGACCCAGATGACCATGGGGACTTGGCATGGTGATGTGGAGCTTGCGAGAGGTGAGCATGGAAGTATCTCAAGGGCAGTCCCTTTCCTGACCACGGGAAGGCTCCACCTTGGCCTGACATGAGACTGGGATCACAAATGGCATTTCCACTGGCATACTGAAAATGATTTGGTAGTGAAGTGACAGCATGGCTGAACACCCTTCCACTTCTGAGGCGACCCTGCTAGAAGAAGGGTGAAACACTGTTGAGAAAATGCTTGAATATTTCTCAGCCATCCCTAGGCTGTAATACAAGATATATGTTATTCTCTGAGGCTGTCAACATGAGCAAAGTATTAGTCCCTTCAGAAGAGTTATACTCTTTCAGAATGACTCATATGCATTTCTTTCTGGTTAATCATAAAATCTCTGCATGCATCCCTTCCCTTGGCTCCAAGAGGCTGAAGCTATCTGTAATAACAGAAAGCAAGGTCGTGTACCTTGTCAAGATGAGTATGCGCACAGCCTATGCAAAAATTGGTGGGAGGACAGTATTTTCCTTGCGCTTCCAAGGAACAGAGCATTTTCCATGCATGTGGCATTAATGAGACTGGAGATGTGCAAAGCAACAATTCACAGCCTGAAGATGAACACTCCATGCTTGCAGTTTGCACAAACTTAGCAGCACAAAAGAAGGGGTAAAATCCTGGCACTATTTAAAGTCAGCTGAAGTTTCCGATACTGCCATACTAAAAGCTCTACTAGCAACTAAGAGGACCATGTGACTTGTTTCATTTCAGAACAAAACTGGGAGCAGGTGGGTTTAGATGTGAAATCATGCACAGCCAGTGTTTCAATGCATGCAAAATAGAGAGTACTTATTCTTTCTATGATGCCTGTAAATCTTCAGTAACAACTTCAATAATAATAAAAATATTTAGAGTAAGTGCAGCAACACAGAATCTAAATAAGAACTACAAATTGTATTTTATGGTATGGCAATGTAGGATATTCAAGTTCAGTCAGTTTCTTTGCAGTCTCAATAGTCAATAAAAATGATTTAGCAGTGTGGGAGGCCTAATTTGCATAAAAAAGAATGAGAGGGGTGCCTTTTGGTTATGAAAGGAAGGGAGTGTTAAAATTTTTAGCTACCCAGCTAAAAATAGACATTGAAGGACATAATGATGAAAATGTGTTCTCTGTAAACTCATTTTTCCCTTCTATTACACACTCATTTTATTTAAAGATTAACAAGATATGCTTATGTAACATGGAATTAAAAACAGCTTGAGGCAGAAATCAAACCCAAAAAACAAGGACCTACTAAATTTACCATGGTAAATTTACCATGGTACTGAAAGTACTGAAACACCCACTTTCATGTTACCTGGGTTAGCAGCTTCATGTTAACCTGCTTCCATTGGATTAATCAGCCTATCTCCTTATATAACCTAATTTTGCTGTAAATAACATCTAACCAAATTAGCAGTCCTTGTGAGGAAGTTCTGTTAAACTTGGCATCCAATTCCACTTCAAAGCAGATAATATCTTCTCATGCTGACACAGGTATATAATATCTGTAATACTTATCCTGTGAAAGGGTCAATGCTTCAGAGAAACCATTTATGAACCTCTCATTATTGAGAGGAATGATGGGGATTGTCTTTACAAACAAGCTGTGGGTCTGCTGATAAGATGCAGCTATCAGTGAGAGACAACAGAAACAATGGGATGGATTCCACTGAAAGATGAAAGAGGCACTGAAAGAGCACCATGAATTCCACAAGAGTTAAGAATTAAGAAGGGATTATGCATTGTGGGGGGGGGAAGGTATCCCAGGTATCAGGCACTCCGGGAAGCCTGCACCTCTCAAGTACCTCAGCCTATGGGGAAAGAGAGAAGGGACAAGAGGCCGGGAATTAGGATAAAAAGGAGGCTGTGCCCTCCAAAAGTTTGAGAGACCCCAGGGGAATGCCCCATGGCATCTCCCTTTATTCAAATAAAGTAAAAGGACTCCTCTGTCTCCTTTTTGGACATAAACCTCTGGTGTTTGTGGATTGATTTTCCTGATATTATTGTACTAGATTGTTCTTGGTACTGACATTCTTCAGAGCTTTGAATCTAAAACCAAGCTTCCTTGCTCTATCTCACTTAACACCATCTCCATAAAAACTTCAATAAATGTACAAATTTACATTCTTTTTTGACCTGAAAGCACTCGGAATGCTACTGAGCAGAGAGATGATGATCCTGGATCTACTCTTCTATTATCCTCTCTGGAGTAATGGTAGAAACTCTGAGTGTGAATGACATTAGGGAATATTTCAGCACTATTACCTACAGGTAAGAGACAGCGCACTGCATGAATGGGCCAATCGTCCACTCTCTCATTCAGTTATTGAAGCCTATGCCTGCACTGAAACCACAAACAACTATTCAGCTGACTTCAAGGTTCAGCCTAGCACAGTTCATTCCTTTCTCAGACCCACTTTATGTTTCCCATTTGTGCTCTCTTCCAGTATTGTCCAACCTATTCTGCTGCTCTTCCAACAACTGCTGTCTTGTGGCTATGGCCTCTTTTGTCTGGACTTGAAAGTGGACTGATGCACCCATTTTAATGCTGGGCCCAGTCCCTGAGAGCAGCATGCCACTGCACTGAGATTATTATTAACTTCCAATATAAGCTCCTAGTTATTTCAGCTATTTCTGCTAGCATTTAAGCTCATCTACAGTAAAGATCCTTAATCAAGTAAAAATTGCCAGAAGCATACCATCTACTTGCTCTCCAAAGACCCCTAACAAATGCACAGACCAAGAGCAAGTCCCAGAACACTGACAAAGCTGGGTGTCCTACAGTCAGCCCCTTTATTTTGTCCAAGATAAAACCATTTGCAGAGTTCTATTAGGGAGTCCATCAGGGGTGTAGCAAATGTGTAATCCAGTCATATCTGCATCACACTGTTGTCTGAGAAACAGAGCTGTTCAACATCACCTTGAACACTGACTACTCCCTATTTCTAAGCAGTGTCAAGAGTGACAGTGCTTGTCACTGCAGCAACAATTTTAATTCTAGCCTAAAGAAATCAAACAGATTTGAAAAGTTTTTCTGCAATGTGAACAACACAAGACTTAAAATCTCCTTACTTGTGAATCATGTTTGGTGCTATCCAAGATGCAGCATTTAACTACCACAAAGTAGACTGCTCCACATCACTTGGTTGTGTGTGCCTGATGCATCTAAAGCGCTCTACTCTTGCCTGCCCCAAAAATGTTACTGCATAGTGATATGGCCAGGGTAACAGTCAAATGCCCAGTAGAATGATACAGTGCAGAGCAGCCCTTCACACTTAAGAAGGTGAGAGCATCTGTAGGGTGTTTTGGAAGGTGATTTCTGTTCCACATCATCTGCTTTCAGGAGTTATTAATGCTTGTTACTGCAAGAGCCCTTAGCCAGTTGGAAAGACCCACTCTGAGGGAGACAACTCTGCCATCAGCAGTGACAACTGAGCTATTATCATGACAAAGGGTTCCCCCACTGCCTTTCCTTGTTGGCAGATAAGGTTTAGTCATTGTTCCATGCTATGACTCCACTCTGCATGGGGTAGCTTGACAATTCTTGGCAGATTAGACAGAAGATTCCTCAAGGTATATCCTGAC